GTGAGGACCTCATGGGTTTTCTTTTTAATTTTTATTTTTTTGGCAGTTTTGGCTCTTGTCCCTACCCCATTCCTTCAACTGTGACAACTGGTGCTTTATAGTTTAGGGGGCACAGGACTTGGAGGCTGGCAACTGGGGACTACATCCTGGGGCCATCTTCCTCAGAGAGACAGATCATGAAGGGGACATGACCTGCCCAAGGTGTGTGGGGCAGTTTAGCAATGAAACTGCTCTTGGTTTCTTCCTTTCTCTTCTCTTTTCCTTCCCTTTCCTTCCCACGCTCCCTTCCTTAATTAGATGTGTTTCAGAAGATCTATTACTGATATTGACTAATCCTTGATTAAAATAAATGCAGTTTTAATTAAACACTGAGTCACCTAGAAACTGCCTTGAAAAAAGTCAGAGGAAACAGCTCTCTACATAGGATGATTTGTGGGGCAGAAATAACCAAGCCCACAAAGACCTTTGTCTGTGGCTGCGGTGGGTTGGGGAGGGGGATGGAGGCAGCTCTAGTTCCTGCTAGGGCGTTCTTGCTCCAGCTCTTTGCATAAACACCCCAATAATCTCTGAGGCCTTCCTTACACCTCGGCCACTCACTGCCTGTCCTACTGGGAGGCTGAGCCCTGCCGTTCCTCTTGCACCAATTTCTAAAGTGCTGGGTTGTAATTGGAGCATCCTCCTGGGAGTCCTTAACAAACTGTACTAGAAGAGAGGAAAAGCTGAACTCAGAGACAAGGAAGTCAATAAAAGGAGGTTGAATTTTCATGAGTGATTGAATGGATTGGCAGCAACTCAACCTTCCTGCCAGTGCAGAGGTGCACTGGGAGAGGTGGGGAGGAGCCGTGCATCTGGGTGAGGGGGCAGCTGGTCACGCACCCCACCCTGTGGGCATCTGCAGCTGTGTCCGGCTCCACAGGAGCTCAGGCGCCATGTCCTTCTGTCAGGAAGCTCTCTCCAGCTTCCGTAGCCGAGGGCAGTGCTTCAGAGCCTTGTTTACCCTCAACACTCACTTGAGAATTTATGGATGCCCAGAGCCCATCCTGGACCTTTTGAGTCTGAATTTTCAGTGACGGGCTTCAGAATCCATATTTACCGAGCCTACCTGATGACTATTAAGGCTAGGAATCCCTAGAGCACTCTGATTTTTAGGATAAACCCCTCTTTCCTTTGCTAGTCTCAAAGCGCCTCTCCAGCCAAACCTCAGTTTACCTTCCAGTTTATCATTCACACCCTCTGTAGGGTCCCTTTGCTCCCTGGGTCTGTGGTCCCCCTAAGGTATCTCTCATGTCACTGTCTGAGTCATGTGATTCAGTTTGTCACCCTTAGTATCTTCTATGTACAAATTCCTGTGCTAGCCACTGTGCAAGGCGGACACACAGATCATGTGGCTCTTCCCGAACTTGTGCAGCTCTCAATCGAGTGAGGAAATGGATGTCCAAGTAAACTAGAATGAGATGCACAAGTGCCCAACAGACATCACAACGAAGTGCTGGGAAGGTAAACACAGCAGGTTGTGGCCACCCTCTCAAACCTGTCAAAATAAAATCATGCCTCAATGCTCAGCTCTTGAAGTCCTCAGGGGTTTTGGATCCTGGATGCCTATTAGAATTCATTACCTGGAATCCTTTAAAAAATACTGAGGCTTGAACCCCACTTGATGCCGGCTGGCCAGAAGCCCTGGGTACAAACTCAGTGGCAGACAGGGAAGAAAACCACGCACCTCGGACAGCTGCAGCACCCTCATCACTTATAGGACAAGCTTAGAGCTGCAATGACTTGATCAAAGACTGAACCTCCCCGATCCACGACGACCCTGTGCAGGTGCAGAGAATGCCCAGACTCTGCTGTGAGGGAACAGAGGCCCCAGGGGAGGGGACTGACAAAGGCTGGGACATGGGCCATCTCCGTCCTGAATGTGAATCTGGGGAGACGTGAGGGGCAGCCATTGTGTCTTATGAAGATTGGGGTTCTGTTGCTTGGAGAGGGGAACCTCTGCAAGAACAACTGAGTCCTTAGCAAGCCCTGTCACTCAACTGGGCTCTGCATCCAGTTCCTGTCTGCTCGCTGGTGCCTCGCTCACCTCTTCCACCTCCTGCTGCTCCCTTCTCTTCTGTTCACCATCTTTTTCTTCCAGGAAAGTCTCTCTTCCTGCCTTTGCCCTTTTGCCTCTGGGTCTTCCCTAATAAAGGTTAGCCTTTTATGAATTACTGCCACACAATCACGAAGGGACAATATTTTAAAGGCTGTTGACCAAAACTTTTAAAATTAGAATCCAATATTGCCCAGATGGTGGTGTTTATTAAACTACATCAAGTGTGTAATTATCTCCTGAGACCTCATACGCAGCAGTCCTTCAAGTCTCCGGTAAATCAGGATTAAGTTCTGGGAAAAATCAAATCACGCAAACAAGTGTTTATTAGGTGTCTGGATGTGCCTTGCCTAGGAAATCCTGAGGCAGCGCACTGGCCGCATGGCTGGGTGAACACAGCCCTGCCTGCTCGCCAGAAAGGGCTACTTCTCTCTCCCAGCCCTTGCCGATCCATCATGTCGTTTCATTCTCATAACACTGATTGGCTCACTGTAATTCTTAATAATTACAGCTTTCCAAAAGACACGGTCCATATGCTTCCCACACTCCATGCACTTTATCTTTTTCAGCCTGCTGGAATTATGGAAATAAGAGGCCTAAGAGGCCACCCCCGTGCTTCTGAGATAGGTGGACATTTCCACAGGTACAGGGGGTTCCTGATCATCATCAAGGGTTGGACTAAATGTGATAAGCAACGACAGTACACTAAAGGGACCAGCTTTCACAGGGCTGGGAGCGGGCCATTTATTTCAGTCAGATATTGGCCATTCATTTCTCATCATGTTGACAGTACAGTCTGGTATGGAGTTATGCAACCATCATTCTTGGGGGTAGGAAGACCACTTTGCTGGGCAATGCTGTCCACCAGGTCCTCCCAGGTGCCATTTCAGAGAATAGGAGTTCCTTAGCAGGAACAGGGCAAAGATGAGTAGGAAGAAAGCTTTCATAAATTAAAGCCTACATTGCTGTGTCTGTGTGGGTGCATACAACTTGTTATCCATCTTTCATTCTCAGAACAAAATCAAAACGCAGAAATCAAAATAAAAGTTTTAAAAACTTAAACTGTGAGGAAAACAGCAAATTTGTGCCATTTATATTACTAAATGGTGTGTTCACATTTGCCTGTCATCTTTCCTCTGATTTTTGGCATTCCTTAACGTGAATTAAAAACAGTATAAAATAAAGTATTTTTATAAATAAAAGAAGTTCAAAATGTAAGCAATAGGAATGTGACAAAATTAGAAAAAAGTAAATGGAATGACTTAGAAGTTGTAGTTGGCTATGATAAGAATGTGCTGGTTTATTGTTAATAATAACAATAAACCATGGCATCTGCTGGTTTATGGTTAATTAAAAAAAGCTAATTAGATATGGAAGAGTTATGAAACCATCAGTGATATGTGTCAAATGTATATCACACTGAAGGAAGAAAGCACATTTGGTCTCCTCTACTTTTTATCCCAATTATGACAAAATGCAACTCAAACTATTTTTATTTTATTTTATTTATTTATTTCTTTTTGAGATGGAGTCTCACTCTGTCACCCAGGCTGGGATGCAGTGGCGTGATGTTGGCTCACTGCAACCTGGGCCTCCCGGGTTCAAGTGATTCTCCTGCCTCAGCCTCCCAAGTAGCTGGGATTACAGGTGGGCGTCACCACACCTGGCTAATTTTTGTATTATTAGTAGAGATGGGGTTTTGCCATGTTGCCCAGGATGGTTTCGAACTCCTGAGCTTAGGCAATCCGCCCACCTCGGCCTCCCAATGTGCTGGGATTACAGGCATGAGCCACCGTGCCCGGCCAACTCAAACTATTTTAAGTTAGAAAAATTGTCCACGGAAACCCCTGATTTGCAGACACATGACAGTTTTCTTTATATTCGTTCCTCATGAATTCAGGTCCATTACATTCATGTCATGCATAGGAACTTGTTAGAGAAGGAGATTTGCTCTGAGTCTGTGTATACAAAACACAGAGCGGCCACCACAGTACAAAGAACAGATTCATTTCCTACTTCCAGCAAAAGTCTGAATGGAAGGCTCTCCTCTGTGTAGGGGCTGGCTCTGGGACTGGGAAGGAGGGTCTTTGCTCAAAGAGAAATAAAGCCTGGCTGGCTAGTGCGGCAGCCTCTTACCTGAGCGGTTGTTGGGAGACACGCGCACGGGGGAGATGGAGGGCGTGCGGGAGGAGGAGTAGGGCCTTTGCCGGTCCCTCTCGATGGTTGAAGACGAGGCTACGAAGTGGTATTGTGACCATCCATCCTGCAAAACACAGCATGCTCCTGTTAGATGGGCAAGACAGAATGATTCTTCACCTCCAGACATTTTTAAGTGCCAAGTATCTGGATTTGCATAATATTTCTATACTGTGTCAAAAGAGGTTCTTGAAGCTCTGCGCCCTCATCGAGGTGAACAGAGCCAAATGTGAATGAAGACACACCTCCTTCCCTCCAGACAGCCTGGCGGGTAGGGCCTGCTTTCCTTCATGAATGTTGAATAAATGGTTTCTTTACAAACCTGCTCTGGTCAGAAGCTTTTACTTTGATGAAAATACGATGCTCAGAATGTTAGGGGACCCGGAAAGTGTCTATTTTTTGCCTACCTGGTTCCAGCTCTGCCTGGCTCCCTCTTCCACTGCCTCAATATTTTCCACAAGGGTTTAGCCCTTTGCTCCCAGGACCTATCTGTTGGAAACCAGAATCTAGGGCAGCGTCCTCCCTTCCCGTTTACCTCCCTATGTCCTTTCCAGCCCAAAATGCCCCACCCTGCCTGTCTCCAAGCTGGTTTGCTCCAGGAATGATATTTTTCAATATAGAGCATACTCAAAATGCATCCTACCAAGCCTCTATTAGGCTTCTGATATCTAGTTAATATACAGAAAGCATCTATACTATTTTTCCTTATAAAAAGCACATAAATATATCACAGATTATTTTGTGAATTTACGAAGCATAAAGAAGAAAATAAAAATAGCCGGTAATTCCACTCTCTCCACCTGAGAGAACTTCTGTTAACATGTCATGGTATTTCCTTCCAGTCTTTTTTTCTTTTTAAAATAGATTTTATTTTTCTCCAAGTAACATGTTAAATAGTACTAACATTATAGCAAAGAAAAGCAGTCACCTGCTCCACCCCCAAATCCTCCTTTACAGAGGCCATTGCTTTCAATTCTTTTAGATATTTTATTTTTTTCCCTGATAACATTTAGACTTTTAGGGGGCTCAATGCTTTGTTCTCTTGGGATTGTTCAGAGAATCTTGCCACACAGTTAGCACCTAGTAAGTAAGCTGGGCACACAGTTAGCACCTAGTAAGTAAGCTGGGAAGTATCTTTTAAAATCACGCACCTCTCATTCTGGCTTTATCCCACTACTACAGAACAGGAATAATGAGAACTGACAGACAAAGATTATCTTGGTGTATCTCAAGAATTAGAGCAGTGGAAATGGGTATGCATTTTGTTTTCTATTAACTCACCTATTTATGTTTTCAATGATTTTGATAGAGTTTTGAGCCCCTTAAAAGCTCCAAATATTAATAAATAAAAGTTAAAGAATGAAAATATACAATGTAAAGTGGGAACTCGGTGGAAGTGGGACAGCCTGCTTTCCTTTGCTATAATGTCAGTAATATTGGATATATTACTTCCAATGGAAATGAAACCAAACTAATGGATACTATAATCTGCATTCCACAGGAGAACTTGTTTCTGAAAGTCAAAACAATACAGAAGTTACAAAAATATATTCATACTAACATGTGGCATTTTTAACAAGAGAGCTGAAGGAAAAAACTAAGCAGGATTAGGGGGATAGAGGAACAGGGCCGGGATAGAGGAGCGGAGGGAGGCGGATGGAGGAGCGGGTCGGGATGGAGGAGAGTGGGTCGGGAAGGAAGAGCAGGGTCGGGATGGAGGAAGGGGGCAGGGATGGAGGAAGGAGCAGGGATGGAGGGGCGAAGGAGAACGGGCCAGGGAAGGGTAAGAAGTGGGCGGGGATGGAGAGGCGGACGGGGATGGAGGAGGCGGGGCGGGGATGGAGGAGCGGGGCGGGATGGAGGAGCTGCCGGGATGGAGGAGCCGGGCGGATGAGGAGCTGGGCGGGATGGAGAAGGGCAGGGATGGGAGGCATGATGGATAGAGGGTGGGGATAGAAAAAAGTAGGGGTGAGGATGGAGGAGCCGGGCGATGGAGGAGCGGGTGGGGATGGAGGAGCAGGGCGGGGATGGAGGAGCGGGGCGGGGATGGAGGAGCGGGGCGGGGATGGAGGCGTGATGTGGGGATAGAGTGGGTGGGGATAGAAAAGTAGGGGTGAGGATGCTGGCATCTCTATTTTGTGGAGTGGGGTCAGGGAGGTGTTGTCGGGAACCTTAACATTGCAGCAGGACCTGGAGATGACAATTGAACCAGACCCTGGGGACACAGATCTGGGCTTCCCAGCCAAGGGAAGAACAGATGTGAAGGCCCTGGGTGGCAACGGCTTCACTGGTGTGAGAACAGGCTCCTGGGACTGAAGAGGAGTGAGCAGTGGGACAGGAGGACAGGAAAGCTCTGGGTGTCCAGGACAGGTTGGGGAGGAGTAGCCACAGCAAAGTCGTTTGGGAGAGCTGCTGGACAGAGGAGAGATGGTCCAGGCTTGGAGGGTGCTGGTAGTGGGCAGCGTGCAGATCTGGTATCCACACTGGAGGGTTTGCTGGTGGCATGGCTATTGGTGTGGGAAAGAGGAATCAATGCTTCTGGTGTGAACCACAGTGGCCTGAGGTACCCTTCACTGAGCCAGGAACAATGGGAGGGAGGGAAGTAGCTTTAGGGAGTGGAACCAGGACTGCCTCATGGGGACGTATATGGTTACCGAAGAGGGACAGAGAACGAAGCAGGATCTGCAAACTGGGATCTCAGGGCTGGAGGCAGAATTTTGGACCTTAGCACATAGATATTATTTAAAGCAAAGAGAATGGATGCAAACCTATAAGCGAATGCAAATAAAGAAAAGCAGAAGGCAGACTGAGTGAGCCTGGTGACATTCCAATACTGAGAGGGCGCAAAGGGTAGGGGAGGCTTCAAAGGAGACCAAGAAGGAACCCAGGGAACCACAGGGAGCATCAGGAGGGTGTGACCGTGGTGTCAGGCAAGACCAGGAGAGCAATGTGTGAGGAGAAGGAGACCAACAGAATACCGAGGAGGACCAATACCTGCCCGGCGTTCTGGGAGGAAGGAAGTCCTCGTGCCGGGGACAAAAGTGCTTTCTTTGGTCAGGTTGGTAAATGTCTAACTCCAGCAGGCCCAAAAGATAATGAGAATTGGTGAAGGGGAGACAGTGAGTACAGACAAGCCTTTGGCAAAGTTTTATTATAAAGGGAAATGGAGAAATGGGCTTGAAGAGAGTGAGGGTTGGAGAGAGGTTTTTCATAGACCACCCAGAAGATATTGCAGTATTTCATGTGGTGATGGGAATGACTCAATGCAGAGAAGGAAAAACCTGGGGACATAGGAGGGAAAGGGAAAAATGGCAGGAAGAACATTCTCAAGACAGGAAAGGTGAATAAAAGCAATGGGATCATTGGCCACAGAAACAGTCAGACTGTGGCCATGGACATGGGGAAGAGACAGGTAGCTGGGGTGACAGGAGGATAAGGATATTCACTGTTGATTTTTTTTTTTTTTTTTTTTTTTTTGCATTTTCTCAGGGAAAATAAGAAGTGAGGTCATCTGCTAAGACTGAGGAAGAGTTGCAGCTTAGAGAACAGAGAGGAGAGAGGAAGGGAAGGGAGGAAGGAAGGGGATGGGAATGTGGAGCGGTTCTTGAGTTGGGTGGGGAGTGAGCTGACTGGCCAGGGCAAGTGGTTGGGGTGCTGGGCGGGGCTGGAGGCCGTGGCGATGAACCGAAAAGGAGCTAACTGGTCAGCATCCATGTGTGCCTCTCTCCAGTCACAGTCAGCTGCCCTAGGGCAGGTGTGGAGTGGATAGAGTTGATGGGTCATCAGGCAACTTAGAGAGAGAGACAAGGGAACGTCACGGAAGCCCACAGAAGCTAAGCCCAGTGGGGAGGAAAATGTAGGTGCTAGAGATGATATGGAGAGTGTAAACTGATCAGGGCACTGGTGGGCTTATGAAGGCTACAGGCTGTTGGGAGGATACTTCACAGGTGCCGGGGGTTTGCTTGAGGGAGGAGAGCAGAGATCTTTCTTGAAAGAGCAGTGAGGAGGGGGCAAGAAGGACAACTGTTCCAAGAAGGACGTCTGCTCCACCTCCAGGGACACAAGGGAGGGAGGCTGGGTGGGAAATGAAACAGCCCTTGAGGAGGAGGCTTGGGGGCCAGTGTCCTCAGAGCTGGCAGGAGATGAGCAGAAGAAGGGTTGTGAAACGGACACAGGGGATTTTGCTGATTTTTTTTTTTCTTTTGAGACGGAGTCTCACTCTGTCACCAGGCTGGAGTGCAGTGGCGTGATCTCGCCTCGCTGCAAACTCCACTTCCTGGGTTCAAGCGATTCTCATGCCTCAGCCTTCCGAGTTGGGATTACAGGCATGTGCCTCCATGCCCGGCTAATTTTTGTATTTTTAGTAGAGACGGAGTTTCACCATGTTGGCCAGGATGGTCTTGATCTCCTGACCTCATGATCTGCCTGCCTCGGCCTCCCAAAGTGCTGGGATTACAGGCGTGAGCCACTGAGCCCGGCCAATTTTGCTGATCTTTAACCACAGGTTAAAGAGGGAAAAGAAATGGGAGGTGGACAGAAGACAGGTGGAATATATGGGGCATAACTGGCTGTTCAGAGCCTTCGACCAGGTAATGATAGTCGTCCTGGGAGGCTTGGGTGGTTGTGACAGCTGAGGTGATGAGAGATGAAAGGTATAAGGTACAAATAAATGCCTCCTTAGGGAAGGGTGGGGGCGTGTCAGGGAACGGTAGGTATCACGGTAGGAGAAAATGTCTCCACCGGAGTTCTGAGGTGTTCTCTGAAATCCTCTGGAGGGTGGCAGCAAACACAGAGGAGGAGCAGTCTTACAAAAAACACGTGCAGGGTGGAAAATATTTCAAAACTGTATGTGACCGTTACTTATGTATGGGAACGATTAAAAAAAATATTTTTTAAATCCCTGTCTTTTTGAAGGAAATGCTTTATAGACGCCAAAAATCCTAAATATGACCAAATGGGGACAGATCATTTTATGTTTGTCTCATTGCAATGTAGAAGGTATGCTTTGGGATTCCAACTAGTGGCTAGGGACAGTCCTTTAGCCAAGACCTTGGCTTCTTTGGTTATGAATATGATGATAATCTGTATGGTATTAAAGGTGAACAAGGTACTTTACAAATGAATGTTGGCTAAATATTATGTTCTAAGTCCTAAAGACACACTAGGCCTAAATGTGGCACAGCTATAGGACTGGTTTCACTTGGTGAGACATCAGTATGTTTGTTAGCATTGCTCTCTTAATGCAGGTGATTGGAGATATGTGTTGTTCAGCAATTCAGATTTCATAATGTTTAGACTATACTGCAACCATTTAAGTATTTGCATTTCTGGAAATATCAGAAAACTGAATGTAATAACAAAATTGCTTACAAAGGAACTCTTATATGGATGCACCCAAAAAATTCAAATCCTTTATAAAATCCAATATGGAAAATGCGAATGCCTGGCAGAAATGTGGTCCCGCAGGTAACTTGTCTGTAGGTGATGGGGTTAGTATACACCTGAGGGTGATGAGAGTGGAGTGCGGTGGGAGAAACAGAGAAGCAACCCCTGACTCAGACCCCTCTGAGGATGGCCAGGGACTGCACGTCTGTGGGTACAGGCACTTTCAATGGAGGGAAGAAGGGAGCTTAAGGAATGGGGCAGAGTAAAAACCCAATAAAGGTCTTCGTTAGAGCTGTTTCCTGACCCACAGCTCAGGAGCCCCAGGAGGAACAGAATACCTTCTACATTGCAATGAGACAAACACAAAATTTGTGTGCTGTGAGAAGAGGTGACCTTCTCTATCTCCCCTCTCTCATTCATCGATGCAGAGTGAAGGCTACAGTGACGAAACTGCACAACTTCAACACTGCTATGCTCAACAATGCCCAGAAAGGACTTTTAAAATGTTAGTTCCGACGCCACATCCAGTTAGCCCTCTGTATCTGTGGTTCCACATCCATGCATTTCACCAACCTAGGGTGGAAAATATTGCAAAAAATATGGTCTGCACTGAACATGTGCATGTTGTTTTTTCTTGTCATCCTTCCCTAAACAGTTCAATTATTTACATAGCACATTGTATTAACATTACATATTATAAGTAATCTAGAAATGATTGAAGTTTACAGGAAAATGTGCGAAGGTTATAAGCAAATACTGCACCATTTTATTAATATAACAGGGACT